AGAGTCTGGATACTGTATGCTATTGTGTTTTTCAGTTTTTTCATTGCTAAGGAAGGAACAACTAAAGTACACTTGATTATAAATGCTGCTGAATTAATTCAACTTCTATCTTTTGAAAATGCCTTGACTTCAAAATTTAAGTATAATGATATGTTACTCGGAAAAGGAGATTTTATTTATGTTTCTACAGAAAATGAAAAGCTGAGGATTCCTTCCAGGCTTCTGTGGTTTGACGAACCAAGACCCCCGGAAGCAGTGGACCAGGTGTTCCAACAATTGAAACAGCTAAGATAATGCAGTCTTACAGACCCTGAAAATATGGACTTATACAGGTTTCTGAGTTTTGTCATGATCCCCATGGTATAAACAGCGCCCCCTTCCAGCATGAAGCAGTTTGGAATGAGCGACGTCCTAATTCCCATCTTGTTTATAAATCTTTGTTTTCATTTAAATGGGATTGTTTATAATTGGTTAATGATCACAACCAATCTCCTTTTAATGGTAAAAAGGGGAATTATGGTATGGGTATTGTTTTTCATTTATTGATACAAATTCAAGGTCAATTTTGTGATGTGTATATTTCTCCTCTTGATTAAGTATTGTGCTTATGCTGATCTTTTAAAACATAATACATAATTAGATACAGACTATAGATAGTTACTTATAATAGAATTTATAGTTAGGTAAGTTAGTTTTTTCTAGATATACAGAAATATATTTGAGATAGATAAACAGTCTTCAAACCTCTCAAAGACCTTCAGAAAATGGCATTTAAAATGGTTTAGGGTTTTTCTTGACAATGAGAAATGTCTGCTCCTGGCAGCACCAATTATGTCTGAGAGGAAAATGGGCATCGAAGAAACTCGTTATGGAGTTTGCTTTCAACATGGTAAGATTAGCCATTTGGGCAAGAAACTGCTCTTGCCTGTACTGCTTGACTGTTGTTGTATAATCTGGACATGCAGGACCCACAGGAAAGTGACTGCTGAACTCAGTCTTACTGGGATCCTGCTTCATGGAAGAGAATTTCTACAGGACACAGAGAAATGACTGACAGACTGCCAATGCAGATGGACAGTTTGAAATTTCCTGCTTTGCTGAGAAGTGTTCCAGACACATTGTGGCCTATGGGCTAAAGATGGATGCCCCAATGTTACAGAGGAACTTAGGGTGACTGTCCAGGCAGTAAGATATCTCTGTCAATCCTAGTGTTTATATATTATCCTTCTGTGGTTTTTGATAGAGTTGAAGACAGATAGCTACAATTATAGTTTACCTTAGTTATGATAAGAGATAAGCTACATATAGGACTTTGGATTCACAAGAAAGAGATAGATGATATTTTCTTTAAATCTTGCTAAAATATTGTAACTATGTTCTTATTTGATAACTGTTCTGTTATACACAATTTGACTATGTTAAAGTTAAGACCTTTCTTTTTGTTTAAACAGAAAAGAGGAGATGTTGGGGGAAGTCCTGTGCATTTGTCAATAAAGTACTGTTGAGCCAATAGAAAACCTAGATAGGAGGGACTAGGAGTCGAGGAGGATTCTGGGAAGGAGAAACACAGGAGAGTCAACATGTAACACCATGGGGTAGGAGCCTGGAACTATTCTCCGGTAAGAGACATACATAGATTAACAATTATGGGGTAATTACTTAAAGCAGAGCTAGCCAGTAAGAGACAAGCAAGGCCAACAGCTTCATAATTAATACAGCCTCCTGTGTGTTTATTTGGGGACTACAAGGCGGCAGAGCCCAGGCGGCTGGCGGGGGATAAACCAAAGCGGCTAGCAAAGAAAAAGCTTCTCTTAACAGGGACCACTCTTGGTATCAACTTTTGTATTAGTGAGGATCCAGCAAGGAGGGGGAAGAGTGCCAGCACCCCCCCCCCGACAGAGAATTTAATATAAGCCATTATTAACTATCTATATAGGTGGTATTATCTTAGTAATTAAAAAGGGGACAGAAGAATAGTTTACACAGAAGTAGCAGCTATAGGAAAGGAAGAGCCAGAGAATAATAAAATATATAAATTATGAGGACGGGTCCTGGGGAGCTGACTCACTACATGTCTTCTTGATGTTTTCTAGTGTCTTGAACTTGGAGGATGGCCCCAAAGGACTCAGAACTCTAAGGGTGGGTGCTGGGTGGCCTGAACAAATCTGTCACGGAGGCAGTGATGTGGTTTGCATAGCAAAAGCTGAGTATGGATCGGGGGAAGGGAACAGAGTTACAAGATCATAACCTATGCTCCATCATCTAATAACTTCTTCAGAAGTCCAAGATTCCCAAAGTAACCATTTTTAATCTTAAGAATTTTGTTTTATTCAACCTACTACTACTACTTCTACATTATTATTATTATTATTATTATTCGTATGGTGTGTGTGGGTATGCACATTATGATTGATACATATGTGTAAGTCAGAGCCAGCTTTGTGGACTTGGTTCTCTGCTCCACCTTTACTTGGGTTCTGGGGACTGAACTCAGGTTGGTGGGTGAAAAGTGCTTCAGCAGCTAAGCCATCTTGCTGGCCCCGTCTTTGGAACTTTGGCATGCTGCCCATCTAATTCTTTAGTTGCCTATTTGTGGATTTTGGAGTCAGATAGAGGTGGATTCAGATTTCAGCTTCTTTCTTATGAGCTACGCATCAGAAAGCAAGACATTTTGCCTTTTTAAAATGTATTTACTCATGTGTAAGCCAGGATACACATATTTATTTCACATGATTGATACAAGGGTTACTCAAAATAAATCTAGCATGAGTATCAATGATAAGTGTTAGCATGTAGAACACTACACAGTCCTAAACAGGGCTAGGTTGGCTTCCATCTTTCCCCTTCTTGTGCATCTTTCTCACGATTCATTTTCTATTCTGCCTCTTGTCCCTTCTTCTTTCTCATTGTGTATTCTTTCTGTTTTTCTTCTCTCTTTTGTTCTTTTCTACATTTTTGTAATTCTTCCCCCATCATTTAATACTTAATTTGTTTCCTATCCCTTGGTTATTCATTAACCCTCCCATGCCAATAACCTCACATTAAAGAAACATTCCCACTTCTGCTTTGGAATTTGAAACGTGTGTCCCTTTGTCATCACTTGCCTGTTCATGATCAGTAGATATTGTATATGGGAAGCTTCCATTCTTGAGATTTGCTTGCAGACTACTGTACCATGTAACTGGAATGGTCTAGACTCGTGGGTTTGGAAATCCAACAAGCATTGGCTTGATTGAGTCACTCCAGCTCTCCTCACTGGTGGGCTTGCTGCTGGAATTGGTACAGACTCATCCATATCAGGACCAGGGCTCTCTCACTTTCACAGGACTTTGTTCCAAGCATCAGGTGTATGTTTCAAATAAGGAGGGTAGCTGAGGTGATGAGGAAGTGAGTATAGCACCTCACATGCTCCGTTTATCTGGGAAGGAATGCTGTCTCAGAAACCTAATCTTTTGCTTTGTAAGATTCATCAGCTAGATCCGTGATGTTCTATTTCTGTAACTTATTTTCTTTCATTCCTAAGCTTGTCGTCCAGTGTTAGACTGCAGATAACTGCACAGCACAGTAGGTAGGGCACTTAGGTTAACTATTAATTGTTTCTGTGTCTTTGGCAGATTGACCTATAGTTGAACTATTTAGCATGTAGTCTTTCTAGATTGGCTCATTTCACTTATTTTATAGTAAGCCAAATAGTATTTCATTGCAGAGATGTCTCAGAGTTGGTTTACTACCAAAAGATGTCTTGGTCACTTAACATCAGTGCAGGTTTTCAATGTAGATACAAGTTTTCATCTCATTTGGGTATATATACAGGAACACAATTTATGGATTCTATGGTAACAGTATGCTCAGTTTTGTAATAAGGGACCAGACTGCCAAAGGGATGTAGCATTCTGCATCCCCATTAGCAACAAGTGAGCTGTGCATACTCATCAGCATTTGGTTGTGTTGTTGCTTTGGATTTAGTTGTTCTAAGAGGTATATGGGTTCTTCTTTCTCATCCTTTTCTTTTCACTGGGTAGGACGTTCACAGCTCCCCACAAGGATTCTCTCCTCTGTGACGCCTCTCTTGCTGTTGACACCATCACACACAGACCTTACTGGTCCCACGGTTAAGCAATCAATTACTTTTTCACATCGGGTTGCTCATCCTATGTATTCTTTTCAGTAAACAAACCCAAGGTATTATTTCCAATGTGGAGACTCTTCAAAGACTCTTGGTCACTTCTGAAAGCTCTGGAGGCATTGTTTTCTTTTGGTCCTTTTGTCCTGTCAGTTTCTGGATTTTTTTGTCTTTTTCTGAATTGATCCACATAGGAAACCCGGCCTCTTTACTGCTTTTCACAGAGAGTCTCAAAGATTATGTGAATTTGTGGACTTAATGGGGAGGGATCACATAGCAAGATCTATGAGCTCCCAAGGACATAATATTCTCTCTTTCTTCATTTTTTTCTGTATTCTATTTCTAGACAAAAATTTTCTTTCAGTTCTATGTCTTACTATTTCATATCATTTTGGTAGGATCTTGGTACTTCATGACCAGTAGGGAAATATCTTATTGTATTCAGGCCTCTGAAGACATATTGGCCACGAGCACATTCACCTGCCATTGACACTTCTGGGAACTGGGAAAAGATTGTAATTTATCTCATCACATTGTAGCTATTTGACCATATGCTTTTATCGACTCTTCTTTCTAGTATCTATCATTCCTTCCAATTTCCTGCCTTAGCGTGGTCATTAGTGCATTTTAATGGAGTGAATAATACATGATGCATGAATGACTTCAGTCCCTCAAAAGAAGCAAAATAATTGATTTAAATACATTTTCTAAAATTATAAGTAGGTGAAACACTAGATAAACAAGTAGAAACACAAACCACGGTTTCTTTGCCCAGGATATAACCTTTATTAAGGAACATCACAAGACACAATACTACAGATATAATGGAAATAGCCAACAGGCAAGCTAATTATGATCCAAAAATCTAAGTAAGGGATTCAGTGGTCAAATGAGGTCAACATAAAGTACTTCCATTTTCTCTAATGACATCTGAAGAATGTGATGTGTCTGTAGTCTGGTGCCTTTGATGTTGAAAAGCTTGAAGTAAACAGAGGCTAAAACTAGATCAACAAGCAGGACAGGCAGATAGAGTTCCGGTCTTCTCTTAAGAAAAGATTCCCCAAGAGTTTGACAATTTTCACTCCCGCAAGAGTTTCAGAAGCAGTGTATCTGGAACAACTTGGAGATCAGAGTGCGGTTCGTTGCATTCTGGGTCCGCTGTAGAGGGTCAAGATATTGGTTATAGAACAGACTCAGACAGGGCCGTGATGCGCCTGAACTCTGTGGCCCCATAATAGACAATGAAGTAAAGGTTTAAGAATTTGTTACTGGTTCAGGGTTGGTCAAGGAGGTGCACAATTCAAGAACATCATGGTCTGGGCAATTGAAAATCTGCAGCCTGGCTCTTAACAGGTAGGAGGGCAGCAGTAGCAGCAGCAGGCTGGGCGGCAGCAGGACTGTCCACAGTAGGATGGGCGGCAGCAGGAGGCCTGGGCATGGTGCAGCTGGCAGCAGGTTGGGGGTGTGCTGCTCACCACGCAGCAGGGGGGCAGGAAGGTGCCCTCCACGCGGCAGTCTGGGCGGCACCATCTAACACGGTAGCTCACGCCTCCATAGCTACCCTCCTGGCCATAGCCAATGCCACCCCCGATGCCATAGCCAATGCCACCCCCGATGCCATAGCCACAGCCATCCCCGATGCCATAGCCATAGCCACCCTCACAGCAGCTTGGCTGGCAGCAGCTGGAGCCACAGGTACCGCCAGTGGAGCAAGTGGGAAAGCCACAGAAGCTTGTAGCGCAGCAGGCCATTGTGCTAGGAGTTGGTTGGGTGTTGAGTAGCTGGAATGAGTTTCTGAGTTTGGGAGCTGACCTGAACATGGGGCCCTTTATATAGGCAAGCAAGCTACTGTTTAGAAAATTCTTAGCATATTTTTCTTGTTTTTGTTTAAATTTGTTCCTTAGTGGTCCTCTGATTGGCTTCCATTGAAATACTTGTGATGTATTATGGGAATGACTTTGATTTAAAGGTCGCTGTGACTCGCTCTTGGCCATACACTCTTTAGGGGAGTGTTTGTGGTTTCCATGTTCAAAGAGCCTTCTCACTTTAGGTTAAGGCAACACCCTTATTCTGAATAGTTGTCATTCCACTTGGCCATCTGTGCAAACCTCTAAAGCAGTGGACAATTTGTTCCTTTCAAGTATTATTTTTCCCTCCTGGATACATAGACCAAATTCCACTGAGTTTAGAACATTGGTGTATTTGATCACATGTAATAGAAGCATTTACCACATTGACTCCATCCAGCACCATATCAAATGATCTTTATAGTTCTTTCCATTTCAGCTGATTATTTGTATTTCAAACGAGAGGTTTTCCCATTGTGAACCAAAAAAGTTGGTTTTTCAGAAAGTATCTAGCCTGATTTTAGTAGAGTCTTATTAAATGTTTATTGAATCTGATTCAGTGGGGATTAACTGAAGGGGTGGAGTATAAGGTATGATTCATGGACGCTTGAACCACTCAAGAATGAGTAAATAGCACTTTCAAGTTGTAGCACCACCCACGGAGGAGACTTCTTTGCTGTGAAGACATTTGGGGTGTCAAGTTATTTTTGTCTTAATTTAGTGGTTGAACAAAAGCTTGGGGAAATGTCTAGGAGTTACAACACCTTCAAAAAATGCACAGCCATTCAATTTTCTGGAATGTACCATCCTGTTTGTGATCCATCCTTGCTGCCAATTTAATGAGAGAGGTAAGTGCTGGGTACTTGTAAATAACCTGGAGAGAATTTTCTCATCTCTTCTGAGATTTACATATTTTATGCATTGTAGTCAACTGCTTACATAGAATTAAAATTAGATGGTAGTATCTGTCTCTTTTTGTTCTGGCATTGTGCTAATTTTTCAAGAAAGGCATTTTTTGATTGGCTTGTAAATTATAAACTGTGGTATTTCTGTTTGAGAATTCTAATGGGTCCATATGACATGATGCTAGAACTCAGCAGATATACCCAAAATCTGTCTGATCTACTCTCATCTAATACATGGACCCCTCACATACTCGGTAAGTGAAGGTGAATATTCAGAGTTGAAGCTTACACAGCTGGGGACCAGTGGGAAGAAGACAGACCAAGGTGTAGGAATTAAACCTAAGTTCTCTTGGTAGTAATGTTGGTAGATGTTTTCCAATTTATTAAGTAGACAGTCCAGTTTCTTTATTTTTGTGCACAGATGAAGAAAACATCTACTGTACTAAAAGGAACAAGGTCAGAGCTGATAGAAAAAGTCCATCCAGGGTAATTCTATTTGTCTGGATCTATTTTAATAAAACCATCCACATACTGAAATAGCCATGAAGATTATTTAATGCACAGAACATTTTTATTAGCAGATGATTCAAATATAAGTTAATTTTCAGACAATTTTGTTTTAGATTATGTCTGTAGGTGGGCAGCTTAAAATTAGAAGATGGACAGAAATCTATCCATTGTGCACAAAACACTTTATTTGAGAGCAACAGGGAGTATTCAAGTAGACAGCATGGCTGAAGATGTGTGGGGACCACAAACTAGGGAAGGAAGTCCATATGTCACTGGAATGAAGTACCGCCCCATCCCTGTGCCCTGCCTAAGCAAAGCAGAGTCCTTTAAACATGCTGGTTGAGGCATGTTTTCAGAACATCAACTCCAGCACATATGTAGGGGTCCTGATGAATAGTTTTACTATTGATGAGTTGGTTAGCAACCTGGAGAAACTTAGCATCCACCCACAGAGCACGTCCTTAAAGATCCCTGCAATTCTGCGCTGCTTTCCACTTCATTCTTCGATACTCAGCAACTGGCCTCTTAGCAGATGGGCTCAGAGCAGCTGGGCTGGCAGCAGCTGGGCTCAGAGCAGCTGGGCTGGCAGCAGTAGCAGCAGCAGGCTGGGCGGCAGCAGGACTGTCCACAGTAGGATGGGCGGCAGCAGGAGGCCTGGGCATGGTGCAGCTGGCAGCAGGTTGGGGGTGTGCTGCTCACCACGCAGCAGGGGGGCAGGCAGGTGCCCTCCACGCGGCAGTCTGGGCGGCACCATCTAACGCGGCAGCTCACGCCTCCACTGCCACCCTCCTGGCCACTGCCAGTTCCACAGCAGCTTGGCTGGCAGCAGCTGGGCTTGCAACAGCTGGTCTGGGAGCAGCAGGGCTGGCAGCAACTGGATTGGCAGCAGCTGGGCTGGCAGCAGCTGGACTGGGAACAGCTGGGCTGGCAGCAGCTGGGCTGGCAGCAGCTGGACTGGGAACAGCTGGGCTGGCAGCAGCTGGAGCCACAGGTGCCACCAGTGGAGCATGTGGGGAAGCCACAGAAGCTAGTAGCGCAGCAGGCCATGTCAGGAGTCAAGTTGGTTGATCTGTGAAGGGAAGTTTCTGAGTTTGGACTGCACCTTCCTCACCTGGCCTTTTATATATTCTCTAGATCTGCATATCCATCTAACAGTTAGCATCTTCCCTTGATGTTAGTTGCAGAGTCAGTCTCTGATTGGTCAGTATTTGAGTAATTGAGAAAATTATAAACAATGTTTCCATCAACACTGTAGTCAGTGATTAATTAAGTGGCATTGAGTTTCCTCTATCCCCTCTGGTCTAAGGGAAGGTGTATTGCCAAACACAGCAGCCCTCTGTGAAAGTCACATGACAGACTGAGAGCCAAACACTGCACTGGTTTGCTTTGTCTCAGCTGACCTTTGATAACCTTAGGCACAGTTCATCCAAATTGAATATTTGTTTCCTAAACAGTCACTCAATAACAATTATGATTTCATAAACAGCTTCCTCAGACTCCATAAGACTAATATTGGTGTCATCAAAACACGAGATATTTAATTGATCAGCATCCAAACAAAGTCTGCCTTCCTGGGATCAGTCTGTGCAGGACAGAAGATCCTTAAGGATCTATGCTTCTTCCTTTTGGTCACCAATGCCCACGTTACAAACTGAAGTCTTTGATGACTTCGCCTTTACATTGCTCTTTGTCTTCGTCATAATATACATATTACATATATATATTGCATGCATATTATATGTGATATATATTATTGCATGTTATCATTGGATACTATTTAACAAGGCAATCACCAATGCACACATTACAAACCGAATCCTTTGATGACTTTGCCTTTACATTGTTTTCTCTTTGTCATAGTATATATATCTACATAGATACATCATGCATATCATGTATTTTATATGCTATATATAGTATGCTATCAGTGGATGCTACTTAACAAGGCAATCACCAATGCACACATTACAAACTGAAACTTTTAATAATTTTGCTTTTGTATTATTTTGTCTTTGTTACATGAAATATATTTTAATATATTTGTAATATATACTATCAATATATAGCATTTAACAAGGCAAGCAAATAATGGAAACATATAAAGAAAACCTGATGTCCCCTTTCTCCAGTGTGCACAGACAGGCACACACACACACACACACACATAACTTTTCCTAAACTGGTATACCAGAGATGATCAATATCAGCAGTTTGGGGTTTATTCTTTGACGCCTTCATTCCTGCTCTAGAAGTAATAACAAGTGTTTGTGTGTGTGTGTGTGTGTGTGTGTGTGTGTGTGTGTGTACACTTCAATTTCAATAAAGTTTGGGTTTTATACATGCTTAAATTCAAATTTTAATCATGACAAATACTCATTGCATGTAAGTAAACATTTGAAATATTTTTGTCAATCCTCTTAACCTTTGGGTCTTATTACCCTGTTAAAACCTTTTGATTATGCATAAGGGTTTATTTCTGGGCCTTCTCTTCTGTATGTCTGTTTTTGAGTTAATGCCACACTATTTTGATTACTTTAGTTTTTAAAATAAATTTTGAAATTGGGAAGTTTACAAAACAAATCTTCTTTTAAAATGATTTATTTTATTATTTTTCTTTTTTAAATTTTAAATTAGAAACAAGCTTGTTTTCCATGTTAATCCCAGTTCCCTCTCCCTCCCCTTCTCCCCTCTTCCTCCACTCCCCTCCTCCCCTGCTCCCTACTGACCCCCTATCCCATCCCCTTTCTGCTTCAAAGTCTGTCATATCATTTGGAGCAGGGCCTAGACTCTCTGCTATGTATCTAGGCTGAAAGAATATCCCTCTATGTGGAATGGGCTCCCAAAGTCCATTCGTGTACTAGGAATAAATACTGATCCATGACCAGAGGCCCCATAGATTACCCAGGTCTCCAAACTGACATCCACTTTCAGGAGATCTGGAACAGACCCTATGCTAGTTTCCCAGCTATCAGTTTGGGGTCCATGAGGTCCCCTGTGTTCAGGTCAGTTGTTTCTGCGGGTCTCTCCAGCCTGGCCTTGACCCCTTTGCTCATCACTCCTCCTTCTCTGCAAATGGATTCCAGAGTTCAGCTCAGGGTTTAGCTGTGAGTGTCTGCTTCTGCTTTGATCAGCTACTGGATGAAGGCTCTAGGATGGCATATCAGGTAGTCATCAATCTCATTATCAGAGAAGGGCATTTAAGGTAGTCTTTCCACTATTGCTTAGATTTGTAGTTGGGGTCATCCTTATAGATCTCTGGACATTTCCCTAGTGCCAGATTTCTCTTCAAACCTGTAATGACTCCCTCTATTATGGCATCTCTTTTCTTGCTCTCCTCTATTCTTCCGCTGACTCAATCTTCCTGCTCTCTCCTGTCCTCTTATCCCCTTTTCTTTCTCCTAATTCCCTTTCCTTCCCTCCATGCTCCCTATTAGTTCAGGATATCTTGTCCCTTTCCCCTTCTCCAAGAGACCATGTATGTCTTTCGTAGGGTCCCCCTTATTTCCTAGCTTCTCTGGCAGTGTGAATTTTATTTTTAATTATGTGTATGCATGTTGGTATGTACATGGGAGTTCAGGTGCCTGTGGAGACCAGAGGAGACAGATCCCCTTGGAGATGGAGATGCTCAGTGTAGGTGCTGGGAAAAGCTACACTTCAGCATTGAGATTTGGGTAGAGATTGCATTAAATCTGTAGATATATTGGTGCTATAAATATTTTCACAGTATAAGTTTTACAATCCACGAACATGGGATGTATTTCCATCTATTTGCATCTTTTAAAATTTGTCTCAGCAATCTTTTATTTGTGGTGTCCAAATATTTTCCCAAAGTCAAATTGATCCTTTCAGAATTTGTTTTTTCCTGAGGCCACTGTAAATGTAGCTTTCTGTAACTTCCTTTTCATATTGCTTATTGTTAGTGTATAGAAATTTGAGTGTGTGTGTGTGTGTTAAGTTTGTATTGGGAACTTTGCTAAGTTTCTTGATCGGCCTTAATATTTCTTTTGTTTGTGAATCTTTAGGTGTATGTGTGTGCAGGATCCTGCTATCTTCAAACAGAGTTTTACTTTTTCTTTTTCCAATTTGGTTGACATTTCTTTCTTTTTTTTTTGCCTGATTTCTCTAGTAGCTAGTACTTCTAGTAGTATGATAAACAACATAGCAAAAGTTGACGTTCTTGTCTTATTTCCAAGCTAATGGGAAAACCATAAGGCTTTGACTACTGAGTGTGAGGTTAATTGTATTCTCTTAATTGGTGGCTTTTATTATATTGACATAGTTTCATTCTTTTCACAGCTTATTGAGGTTTTTAAATTAAAAATTATATTTATCTATGTATTTGTGTATGCATAGGGGTGTGGTGGGAGCTCAAAGATGACATGAAGGAATCTGTTCTCTTCTTCCATCAAGTGAGTTCTGGGACCAAACTCAGTCTGTCTGGCTTGGAAGCAAGAACTTTTGCCCACTGAGCCATCTCATTTACCCTACTGAGTGTTTTTAAAAAATGTTCAAAGGGTTTTGAAATTTATCAAAACATTTTGGGGAAGGCAGTTGAGATAACCATGTATGTTTTCCCTTTTATCTGTTAAATAGGGATTACACTGATTTTTTTATATGCTGAACAATTCCTGCATTGTAAGATAAATTCTCACTTAGTGATGCTTTTTAATCATCTTATTGTCCCGTTGAACTGTTTGATAATATTTGACGATTACTGTCACATGAATACTATTTAGGAATATTATTCTGTGGTTTTCTTGTCTTATTTGTCATCAGAGGGATGGGGGCTTTATATGCCAAGTTTGGAAGTATTTCTCCACTCTTCTATTTTTCCCCTAATTGATAGAACAATAAATATATTTGGAGATTTTTCTTGGGAATTGCTGTTAATTTTTCTTTATATATATATATCTGGTAGAATTTATCTGTGAACAAATCTGGTAGTTGGACAGTTCTTTGTTGGAAAGTTTTTGATTATGGATTTTGTGTACTTTTTAATTACAGTTATGGTCAGTTTTCAAGTTCTTTATGACTAAGTATTGATAGGTTGTGTGCTTATAGGATTTTTCCCCACAGATATGTTTTATCTGGATAGTATTTATCTACTTTATTCAGTTTTTTTTGTACGTGTGGAGGCCATAGGTTGACACTAGATGTCTTCTTCAGTAGCTCTCCCCTTCATGTTTTTGAGGCAGGTTGAGTAAATCTGGAGCTTGCTGGTCATGGCCACACTCAACGTTTTTTCTTCCAGGAATGCTAAGAATCAAGCTCAGGTTCTGGAGTTTAAGGGACAAGTATTTTACCAATCTAGCCCAGTTTTTTAGTGGCTCCTATAGATAAAGCTCATTGTAAGAGCTATATAGTATTTCAGAATATGACAATAAGCAGAGTTTATTTACTTACTTTTATGAGTATTTATTATTATTTTTTTTGTTTTTTTTTTGAGGCAGAGTTTCTCTGTGTAACTACTCTGGATGTTATGGAACTCACTCTGTCCACCTGCCTCTATCGCCTGAGTGCCAGGATTAAAGGTGTGTACCAACACTGCCAGACTTAATTTTAATTTTTAAAACGAAAACATATTACACAATTTCCCTCCTCCCTTTCTACTCCCTAGCTCTTCCCCTGTCCCCCATCACTCTTTAGTCCCTCTCAAATTAGAGTCTTCTTTGTCTGTAATTCTTATTGCTACATATAGATGGATGTAAACCTTCAGATACAATCCTTTGCATCTGTTTAGTGCTTCTTGCACATACATGATTTTAGAGCTGACCACTTGGTGTTGGACAGTCAATTAGGAGTCTCATCTTTGAAGAAGACTAATGCTCCGGTTCTCAGCATTCCTTAGTTGTCTGTAGCTCTTTGTCTAGTGGTGGGGACCATGAGAGCTCCTCCCTCCCTGTTAGTTTGTCTATTGGTCTTGTCCTTGTTCTGGTCTGGTTTTGACAGCACACTATTGAGGCATCATGGTTGATGTTCCCTGTCATTTCTAGGAGACAGTCTCACAGCAGATTTCCTGGCCCTTTGGCTCTTATCATCTGTCCACACCCTCATCCACAATGTCCCCAGAGCCTTAGATGCAGAAGTTGTGCTGTAGATGTTTCTATTGGTATTGGGCACAACACGATCAGCTGTTTTCTGCCTTCTGAGTAGTTGTAGTTTTCTGTAATGGTCTCCATCTGTTGCAGAGATGCTTCTTTGTTGAGGATGAGTACCACACCTATCTGTGGGTAGAAGATACATATTTAGAATGCAGTTAGGGATGATGCAGACTTAATAAAGTGGCTGCTAAGATTCATGACCTTGCTAGGGATAAAAAAACAAGCAAACAAACAATAAAAGAATGACTGACAGTACATGTTTGACTGGGGCTGTAGTTTACATGGCAGGGTGCTTGCTTAGGATGAAGCCCTGGGTCTGGTCCCCAGAACTATATGAACCAGATGTGGTGGCATACATCTGTAATCTTAGCACTTAAGAGTGCAGACAGTCTTAAAAGAGAGCTTGCAAAAAATGAGCCTGCAAGTGAGCTAGAGAGAAAGCCACTAGGCAGCATCCTACTATGATTCCCGGCTCCCGGGTTCCTGCCCTGCCTTCCCTCAGTGATGAACTGTGACTTGGAAGTGTAAGCCAAACAGACCCATTCCCTCCCATGTTGCTTTTAATCAGGGTGTCTGTAACAGCAACAAACTGAAACCAGGACATGGGAATGCTGCAGCTTTCTGTGGGGTTTAACCACTGCTGGAACCCACCCCATTTCCTAACCAAGGATAAGAAGAACAATATAGAATATAAAAAACGGGCTGACGGGATAGCTCAGTGGATAAAGGCCCTTGCCACCAAGCCTGAGGACCAGAATTCAATCGTAAGCGCCATACGGAGGAGGGAGAGACTGCCTCTGATCTCTGCTTCCATGCCTCCACCCGTACATGCCCCAACCCCATGCAAAATAAATAAAGGCATAGAATCAAACTTGGACATTTTATGTGGCTCTCTATGAAGTATCTATTATTTGCACACTAAATAAAAAAGAGGCGACTTTTAATATGCCAACAGATATAATTTATTACCTTTGATACATTATTCTTTTTTCCTATAAGAGCAATTTACAGAACAGTGAAAGATGAATGGAAACTATCTTAGCATATGATATCATTCCATGGCCTTGGCAGCCCTGAGCCTTGTAACACGGGGGCAATCCCAAGGAAACTGATTTTCTCATTTTGTGATCAAATTTAGATTTTATTATTTTTACATAGGATATCAAAGCCTTTCCAGTATTAGACAAAAAAATGTTCTGTGAGGTCAACTATTTGATGACTTCACTCTGACACGCACACAAAAATCACAAACCAAATCGAATTTCAAGAACGTGTTCTTGGGCCAGGACTTGAAAGTCTTAGGAATCACCATCCTGGGTCTTAACAGCTGGGCTGACAGCAGCTGGGCTCAGAGCAGCTGGGCTGGCAGCAGCTAGGCTCAGAGCAGCTGGGCTGGCAGCAGCTGGGCTCAGAGCAGCTGGGCTGGCAGCAGTAGCAGCAGCAGGCTGGGCGGCAGCAGGACTGTCCACAGTAGGATGGGCGGCAGCAGGAGGCCTGGGCATGGTGCAGCTGGCAGCAGGTTGGGGGTGTGCTGCTCACCACGCAGCAGGGGGGCAGGCAGGTGCCCTCCACGCGGCAGTCTGGGCGGCACCATCTAACGCGGCAGCTCACGCCTCCACTGCCACCCTCCTGGCCACTGCCAGTTCCACAGCAGCTTGGCTGGCAGCAGCTGGGCTTGCAACAGCTGGTCTGGGAGCAGCAGGGCTGGCAGCAACTGGATTGGCAGCAGCTGGGCTGGCAGCAGCTGGACTGGGAACAGCTGGGCTGGCAGCAGCTAGATTGGGAGCAGCTGGGCTGGCAGCAGCTGGAGCCACAGGTGCCACCAGTGGAGCATGTGGGGAAGCCACAGAAGCTAGTAGCGCAGCAGGCCATGGTGCTAGGAGTTACTCTGTGCTAAAGGTTTCTTTGCTTGAAGATTTTTTTTTGAGTTTGGGTAGTGACTGCCACTCCAGCCCTTTTATAATCCTTGACTGGCTGCTGTTTCCCTAACTCCGGAAGCCTCTTCCTTGTTTATGTTTATGTAATTTTCCTCCAAATGATAATTGTTTGTTCCTGAGTTACTTGTTCAGTCTTCTGAAAGCCTGTAAAAAGTTTATTTTCTTTGGTGTTCAATTAGGGTTCTTAACTGCCATAAAGTAGTCACTAGCATTAATTGGAAACATAAGCATGTTTCATCCATATTCGCTATAAGTTCCCTATTGTCGAAGGCAATTGGCTAATGTTGCTCCTGCTTAAGTAGGCTCAAAAATTACTCAGTGTTGACCTTGGTAATTGGGTCTTGAATCTCACGTGGGTGTTTAATTCCTTTGTTTCCTTTGACTGGCGAGCAAAGGTGGGTTCAGCTGGACAGAAAAGATCCTTTTTTGCACCCGGACAATGTGAATGGAGGGTTACTAGTAATGTTTTCTGAGCTTTTATCATGTTCCTAGATAACTGATCATACCTGGTATCAATCCATTTCATTTTCACAGCAATCCTAAGGGTGAGTCCTACTGCTGCTCTTGTAATACCGGGAGGGAACTGAGCCATTAACTGATTAGATGGGCATTTTGTGGGACTCCTAACAGTGGAGATTGGGGTGTCTGGCTCCTTTGCTTGTCATTGGCACCCTTTTCCCCTTACTGGGTTGCATTGCTCAGCATTGATATGAGGGTTTGTGCCTAGTCTTATTTTAACTTGTTTTGTCATCTTTGGTGGATATTCCTGGGAGGCCTGCTCTTTTCTGAAGGGAAACGGAGAAGCAGTGGATCTGGGGGAGAGGGGAGGTGGGGGACTGGGAGGAATGGAGGGAGGGAAATGGGGTCAGGATGTATTATCTGAGAGAAGACTAAAATAAATAGAGGAAAGAAGGAAGGAAGGAGGGAGGGAGGGAGGGGAGGAATGAAGGAAGGAAGTTCCTTAAGGCTACAAAAATCCAAGTGGTGAATCTGAAGTCTGAACTTCTACCATCTGACTGAGAATAAAACTTAGTTTTCTTCTTTTTCCGTGTGTGTGTGTGTGTGTGTGTGTGTGTGTGTGTGTGTACATGTGTGTACAAGCATGTGCCATGGAGCTCCTGTGGAGATCAGAAGATAGGCCCACCTCCCTCTCTTGTCTCCAGTTCTCATCTCTCCATAGATGGTCTGAGATTACAGATGCCTCTGGCTTTATGCAGATCCGGGGAGTCAAGCTCAAGCCCTCACACTTGTGCGGTAAGCACTTTACCCACTGAGCCATCTTCTGGCTTCTTTGGTTAGCTAGTTTTTCACCTTAGGTGCTTGCAATGTACAGGTGCCACAACAGCAATCTCAGTGGCTGTTTAATTCATGTTGAAATTCCAATTCAGCAGGATTCTTGGGGCTAAAGATACTGATCTTGTGCATTGGAGGAGTTGCAGTACAATGCTGGTAAAAGGCCCTGGAGATAATGCCATTATTCATGGCATTATTGTTTATGCCTTTTCTACCTTGGCACTGTTTTAAACAGCTTCCTCAGTATAATATTTAAGTCAACTTTCGTGACTATGGACTTAGGTAATTACTAACAATGAAACACAATGCTCAAGAGCCAGCAAGCTGACTCAGCAGATAAAAGAGCTTGTCACCAAGCTGGATGACATGAGTTTGATCCCTGGGACCCATGAAGTGGGAGGAGGAAGCAACTTTTCCTACTTGACCTCTGCACCTGTGGGTGCACACACAATAAATCTAATCAAGTGGCTAAAAATATGTCACCTGAAATTTGAGAATTCCACCTCTCTGCCTTACCAACCTCAAATAAATCTAGAACATGGGATATAACCAAACTTGTTTCCCCCCACCACTTGAGTCTGTTTCTTCTGTATTGATTTCCATGGAAATCAAAACAGATAAAAATATTCATGTTTCTCATTGGCCTGTCTTTCTTTAGGTTGGGAAAGTTTTCTTCTATGGTTTTGTTGAATATGTTTTCTGCACCTTTGAGGTGGGTTTCTTCACCTTCTTCTATACCTATTATTCTTAGGTTTGTACTTTTGTTGGTGCCCCATATTTCCTGGATATTTTGTGTTAGGGATTTGATGGACTTAAGATTTTCTTTGGTTGATGAATCTATTTCTCCTGGGGTATCTTCAATGCTTGAGATTCTCTCTTCCATCGCTTGTATTCTGCTGGCTATGCTTGCATCTGTAGTTCCTGAACGTTTACCCAGCTTTTCTATTTCCAGCATTCCCTCAGTTTGTCTTCTTTATTGTCTCTATTTCTGTTTTTAGGTCTTTAACTGTTTCCTTGATCTATTTGATTATTTTTTCTTGGCTTTCTTTAAGAGATTTGTTGATTTCTTGTAATTTTTGGTTTGTTTTTCTTCCATCTCTTTAAGGAATTTTCTCATATGCTCTTTGAGGGCCTCTATCATTTTCATTAAGTTGTTTTTAAGGTCATTCTCTTCTGCTTCATCTGCATTGGGATGTTCAGGTCTTGCTGGTGTAGAGTCCCTAGACTTTGGTGGTGTCATATTGGATTTTCTGTTGTTGAGTGTATTTTTATATTGCCTTCTTCCTATCCCTTCTTCCAGTGAGTGCAAGATGGGTCTCTTCCTCTCCTGGTGGGTACGGATCCAAGGTTCCCTTCTGGTGGGTGCAAGCAGGTCCAACACTCCAATGACTCTCCTCTTCCCATGGGTGGAGGTGGAACTAGTATTGAGGGCCTTGGCAGTCTCTGGGTGGGCTGGACTTCTGGGATGGGATATCCAGTGCGCAGTCCTCAGGCCTCAGGCAGCTCTGAGCACAACACCGGAAAGCAGGCCGGAAACCTCATGATGTTTCTCTTTGTAGATTTTCTATCCTTTTTGAATACCAGGAACTTGTGTCTGTGTCTAAGTGGAAATTCAGGTGTCTGGACACCCATGTTATAAAAATTATCCCACTTATTCTCTTAAGTTTTTACCACTTCATTCTGGAGAACCCAGACCAACCCTATATGTCAAGAACAAAGGACTTTTAGACTGTCATTTTTGAATATTTGATCCTCTGTTTAAGAACCTGCCTGCCCTTTTCTGAATGGAGATGGTGGAGGAGTGGATGGGGAGGCAGGTAGATGGGAGCAAATAGGAGGGACAGGAGGAGAGGAGGGAGGGCAAACTGGACTCTGTATGTAAAATAAATGAAAAGATGTTATTTAAATAAAAAAGAGTTTGACACTGATGTTTGCATGGTTTCTGTGAAGGACGGCATGGTTCTGGTTCTGGGGAGTTCTCACATTTTCATCTTCATTTCATGGGTGTTCTATGCCAGTCTGTTCTAATTCTCTCTTATATTTCTGGAGGATAAAGTATGGGTGGTTGATGACCAGCCAAATGAATGTACCATTCCTGCTTAGGGCATCCATGCTTCTATCCCAGGAACCCCAACAAAGTGACAAGAAAACATCAAGGACTTCCTCTCATCCCTAACTTTCTAGCCTTAATCAAGTAATAAGGTCTTTCTTGAATTTTCTAAATACCAAAACACATCCCTTTTCACGTGGGTATGGGTACCGTGGATTTGAACTGGAATCCTCTTCTTTTCACAGCAAACACTCTTACTCACTGTGCCATTTTCTCAACCTCATGGTACATTTCAGACCTCTGATGTCAAATCTTTTAAATCACCTCAGAAGAATACTCAATAACCTTGAGACAATCACTTGCTATATGCTGCTAATTGTGACCTGTAGTCCACCACATTGATTTTATGTCCAAAGATTTTATCCCATGGGATGGAAGCTCCATTATGTGTCTTTTGTTCCATACTTGCTCCACCACAGAACACATCTTGGAGATTAGAATAAGACTGGTGATAAGATGTGACCAACATTATGGTCTGTGTTCTGCTTCACAGCTCTTGAGAGGATTGGATAGGAACAAAAATACAGGTTAGTAGACTGCTATTTCCTTTCATCATTTTCCAAAGTACATATTGGAGATCACTGGCTACACGACATTAACATGTGAGATAGCAACAGAAAACACCCTGGTTTTATCAGTTTGAGCATGATGGATAGAGACTGTCTTACTGTAGGACACCACAACCTCTTTAATGTTCTCAGGCAACTTGTAAAATCTTCTAAATGACCGTTGTCCTGGTTTGATTTGCACGACCAAAAGCAACTGAAGGTAGGGAGGTGTTTATTTCCTTTTATACTTTCAAGTCACAGTCCATCACTGAGAGAAGTCAGGGCAAGAACTTCAGAGAGACCATAGAGGGATAAACTAACTTGCTTACTGGCTTGCTCGTTAGCTTATGCTTAGCTAGCTTTATTTTGAATGTATTAACATCCAATGATGTAGTGAAGTCATTTCTACCCCTCTTCATTTACCCTCCACTCCCTGTCAAATTAATAACCTCTTCTTTTAAAATTTCAGTGCTGCTGATATGTGCTTGTGTTTAGGACTGAATGATATGTCAGGGTACTGTCCCCAAAGAAAACTGTTTTTCTTCTCTCTCTCATGAGCCATTGATTGCCTATAGTTCTTCATCAAGGAGTATTGAGAGCTTATCCCTACTTAGAATTAATATTAAGAATATACAAAGAACTCCAAAAACAACCAAGAAAATAAATAATCCAATTAAAAAAATACCGCAGATCTGAACAGAGAGGGTTTTTTTGTTTTGTTTTTTCGAGACAGGGTTTCTCTGTATTGCTTTGGAGGCTGTCCTGGAACTCACTCTGTAGACAAGACTGGCCTCAAACTCACAGAGATCCGCCTGCCTCTGCCTCCTGAGTGCTGGGATTAAAGGCATGCATCAACAATACCAGACATGAAGAGAGAGTTCTTAAAAGTAGACTTTAATTTGGCTAAGAAATATCTTTAAAAGTATTTAACATCTGTAGCAATCAGGGAAATGCAAATTAAAGCTACTTTGATATTTCATCTTACCCCATTCAGAATGGCTAAGATCAAGAAAATAACTGATAAGTGCTGGTGAAGATGAAGGGAAAAGGAGCCTTCATACATTCTTGGTGGGATCGCAACCGGGCTCAGCTCTCTTACACAGCCCAGGGCCACCTGCCTAGGGATGTAGTGCCCACAGTGGGCTGAATTCCCCTACATCAATTAGCAATCAGGAGAATACCTTACAGGTATACCCACGGGCCAGTCTGGTTGAGGCATTTCTTCACTTGAGATTCCCTCTTCCCAGGTGACCCCAGGTGTGTGAGGTTGATAATACAAACTAACCAGGACAACAATAAGGCACATAATATTATTGGATCATTGAGTCCCTTTCCTCTTCAAATGTCTGAGGATATTGCCAGCATGTCACCTGTTTATTAGATGATCTACACAGCTCTCCATGAAAGGGACACAACTCAGTTTTCAGATGAGAAATAGTTGCTCAGGCGAGTGAAGTGACTTACTCAAGGAGTCATGGATCATGGCTTACAAGCTTCAACTAGAAACATCTAATGCTATTATTCTGCTGTTTTGAGTTTATGGTATTTAATTTTGCATCACACCTTAGTAACCCTTTGATGTTTGAAAGAATCATATGTGGACTCACACGTGAGTGATGGATGGGCTTGGCAATGCCTGAGACACCAAAGTGACACAAGCTTCCTATATGGAAAATTGACCTTTTGGAACACTGAGAGCGCTTTGTGCAGGTGAGGGTCCTAATTGCTGTTGTGTTTTTAAACGATGTATTTCACTTGCAAAAACAGTGAGTCATTTAGTGGGAGACAAAGAAAAGGGATTATTAAAAGAACAAGCATAGTTAAACAAAAGAAAAACTGTGGTACCATGTTGAGACTTTGAAAAACTTCAGTACCATTAATAACAAATTCCAAAGGAAAGAAAGTATTGACAGTTGGCCATTGAAGAGATCAAACACTTTTTATTAAATACAAGTCCCAATAAGCTGATGAAATATTTATAGTAATGTATTATATGTCCCTCTTCACATTGCAGAGCTTTTGTTGGTGTTCAAGCCAACAAAGATGTTGGCTCTTTCTCTCCAAATGAATTTACTTTCTGGGAAATTATGTAGCTGTACCAATAACTGAATTATCAATACTGAAATTCAGATCTCTAGGGTTCTAGTTGGTTCATTTTGAAGTGTCATCCTCTCAAGATTCTTGTCAGATGTTTTTCAACAGCTGGGCTCAGAGCAGCTGGGCTGGCAGCAGTAGCAGCAGCAGGCTGGGCGGCAGCAGGACTGTCCACAGTAGGATGGGCGGCAGCAGGAGGCCTGGGCATGGTGCAGCTGGCAGCAGGTTGGGGGTGTGCTGCTCACCACGCAGCAGGGGGGCAGGCAGGTGCCCTCCACGCGGCAGTCTGGGCGGCACCATCTAACGCGGCAGCTCACGCCTCCACTGCCACCCTCCTGGCCAAAGCCAGTGCCACAGCTGGACTGACAACAGCTGGGCTGGCAGCAGCTGGGCTGGGAGCAGCTGGGCTGGCAGCAGCTGGGCTGGCAGCAGCTGGGCTGGGAGCAGCTGGAGCCACAGGTGCCACCAGTGGAGCATGTGGGGAAGCCACAGAAGCTAGTAGCGCAGCAGGCCATTGTGTCTGACGTTGGTTTGAGAGCTGTGTAGTTGAGATGAGTTTCTGAATTCTGACTGCTTATTCCACCTGGAGCCTTTTATATGCCTTGGGCAGGTGCTCTGTGACAGGCAACATTTTTATCTTGTTACTCTTAAAACCAGATTTTCTGGGGCCTCTGGGTTACTTTAAACATCTTTAAACGGGTTTTTCCTTGTTGCTCAGCTAATGCTCATCATATATGTTCATCTGAGGTTGACATGTTAAATGCTTTGTATCCAAACAGAGTGGTGGTTTCCACTTGAGTCTTGGCCTCAGTTTTGTGTTTGTGGTCACAGCACCTGACAAGGTGACTCTCACATGTAATTATAATTATGGGGACATACTCATCAAATCTCAAATATTCAAAAGGGAATAATTGACCCCGGGTTGTCCTTTGAGAAAACCATCTTTACTGTTCTGTTTTTATTTTATTGGTAAGATCGCAGTTTCTACATCATTGCACAGAAAGTTACACATAAAAAGATAAGTTACACATTAAGAAGAATTAGATCTCTCCAGACATTTTTTGCATGATTTCTGTGAGACCTTCTAAGCTTAAGACATTAATATTTGAGGAAACACCTGCCACTCAGGAAAGTATATGGAACAAAACCCATTACACTCCAATTTAATTTAAAGAAGAGGCTAAAATTTATAATCAGTAAGTGGAGGAAAAGTGCCCACAAAACAGTCAAGTGAAATTTATGCTTCCTTAGAATACTTAAAATTAATGCTATATGTGGATCATTTGGACAGTGTCCCCTCAATTTATGTTATTTTATGTTACTACACCATGTGCCCTGTAAGAAGGGCATTGAACCAAAGAGGACAACAGCTTAATTTACAAAGAGGAGCCAAAGAGACGAAAGGAATCAGGAGATGCTACTTTTCTGGCTCCTAACATTTGTGAGGGAGATTAATATGTGTTAGTAGGCACAAAAGCATAGATTTAGGAGAAGTCTTAGCAAACAAGGAGTTAAAACCATTTCTGGTAGTTGACAAAAAAGTGATGTTTTTTCCTGCTAAGTCTTTAGGGTTACATGAGGGGACAAAAGAAGCATAGTGACCAAAAGTCATTTTTGCTTCTTGTGGTAGGCTTATATGAATACAAGCACAACGTGATCTTTCATGAGATGAAGATATTGTTTTAGACTGTGGTAAGATTACGTTAGAATATTATGCGTGCCAGCTTTAGTAAAGATGTATGGTCTCTGGTATCCATGGCGATAGGCATGAAGTTGAAAATGGTCACATGTAGTCATTGAGCAATGGAAAGATAACTAATAACTCACTTTTGACCACTTAATATTTTAGGTGTAGAAACCAATACTCACAAGCTTGTTTAGTTCTACTATTCACAGAACCCTGAATGGTTATAAAGAAAGACTCTGATTATCTGTCTCATAGTTTGCTCCAGTGCACAAAGCTGAGAGCAATCAATAGGATTAATTAATTAACAGAGTTAAATAGCAGAACCATTCATTTGCAAAGTGCTAGACCATGGCCTTGGTGTTGTGGTGGGAATGTTTCATTTTCTTAGGTATCAGTTGTTGAAAGAAGAACGTGGTCTGGGAACAGGTAAGTTCGTAGAAGTTGAGTGAACATTTGTACTCACAGAGAGAAGAGCTGGGCATGATAGTCCCCTCTCCTTTCCCTAGACCAGTTCTTTGTATTTCGTAACATGCTTTGTCCAGGTTCAGTGAGTAGCAGTAAAACTCTTTGTGTACTGCCTTTATTTTAAATGTGTTTTAGCAGTTCAAGAATATAATGAGCTGTTGGGCAAAATACACCACAGAGTAATAATCTGAAAAACAAAAGCAAAGAAACATATGTTAAAATACATTTAAGCCTTTTTAGACCATAAATGTTTAGCCCAGAGTTGAAATAAACCACTTTAACATGTTTGTCCTCTCTCTCTCTCTCTCTCTCTCTCTCTCTCTCTCTCTCTCTCTCTCTCTCTCTCTCTCTCTCTCTCTCTCTCTCTCTCTCTCTCTCCCTCTTTCTCCCTCTGTGTGAACACATGTGTTTAGATTTTTGTGTATACACATGAATATGGAAACCAGAACTCAACCTTGTGTGTCATCTTCAGAGCTGTCCATTCTTTTCCATTCTAATTTTTTGAGGCAGAGTCACTCCTGGGCACCTGGGGCTTGCTGATTAGCGTGACACATGTCTGACTTCTCCCATGGGTACTGGACACTGAACTCTTTTTCTCAGTCTTGCAAGACAAGCACGTTTACTAACTGAGCCATCTCCTATTTGTCTTCATTTTAAAAACTCCTATAGACCATCCCAATACCAACTCTGCCATGCCATGTATGGACCCAAGGCTTTAAACAGCTCCTTGGCACTTTCTTACCAATGCCACCGGATGATTAGCAAAGCACATCAATTCTCTAAATAATCCTTCTACTGTTTCTCCTCAAAGATCTAGTGCTCTAACCAAAATGTTCGGATGACCCTGAAGTACTTCCCTCTATACCTTTGTCTATACTGTTTCCACTGATGAGAAAAATACTCTCCTAATCTGGGCAACAGGACCTTAACTTATATAAGATACTAGCATTTTTCAAACTTTCTTATTCTTTCTAAATGACAGTAATGTCTTTGTGGATACTATATGATATGTGCACTTTTATTTTTCATGTTATATTTAATTGTGTCAATGCAGACATGACTCATCTCTCCAGAAGCTTTACATGAAAGACAAAACTTAAGCTATTTAAGCTGGAGGATGGCCTGGGGGTTAGGAGCACTGGCTGCTCTTCCATAGGACCTGGTTTCAGTTCCCAATACTGACAGGGCAACTCATCACCACCTGTAACTCCAGTTCCAGGGAATCCCATAGCTTCTTCTGAAAGCACCAGGCACACACATGGTGAACATACATACACACAGGCAAAACAAACAACCACATGAAATAAAAACTGTAAAACACGAAAAGGATATATTTTAATTTTTCTTTTTCTTTATGATTAGTACATGTATACACACATACATAAATGCAACTTCATGTGTCCCTCATGTGTATATGTTTTAGAGATGACGACTTGGTATTGGATAACCAATGGGGAGGAGTGATTCTCTTTTAGTAGTAGCCACTAATTGCATATATCTTTTCATTTAGAGATGGAACCTGTGAGATTTTGAGGGGAAAAATTTTAAAACCTCAGTTGAATGTTTCTCACAGTCTATGCAGTCTGTGGCTTGCAGATGGTAAACAATAAAAATTTCTTGGAGGCCTAATTTTTAAAACGAGCATAAAGAAAACAGACCACCCCACCTCTGATTGGGTGCCCATGTTCCCGTGGATGGCCCTATGCCTATGCAAATTATCACAGCACCAATTAGACTGAGTGGGTTAACTAAAAAGAGGCATGAAATTATGAGAGGGTTGTGGTTGGGGAGAGGGGAGGATGGTCTGGAAGTAGGTGAAGGGGAGTGTGGGAGACAGATGAGATCAATGTAAGTTGTAGAGTAAATTCTCAAAGAATAAATTAAAATAATTTAAAAGGCATAAGTAAGTAAGCCAAAGAAGAGAAATTTATTAAATAAATGAACATGATCAAAGACCTTAGACCCAAGAAAGAAAGAAGTTCAAAGAGTGCTACAAAGAGTTGTACAAGTCTTAATGGAAGGCTCTGGGCCTCCACTCACAAGCTGGTTGATTTAGGGCATTGGTGTCGCAGGGCAGGAGGTTAGAGAGAGAAATAGGAACGTGACTTCACTGCTCAGCAGCAGGTGTTGCAGGGGGAGGTCCTGCAGGTGGTACGGCAGGGAGCAGGCTGGCAGCAGGGGGGCCTGCAGCAGGGAGCCTGCACAGAAATGGGCTGGCAGCTGGTGGAGGTCCAGCAGCAGGGTCTGCAGACCACAGCTGTGCAAGAGCTGGGGCAGCAGGTGATGGGGCGACAGCAGCCCTGCTGCAGGCTGCAGGGGTCACAGCAGATGGGGCGGCGGCAGGGCTCGCAGATGGGCCTGGTGAAGTGTGGCACACAGGTCACGGGGCGGCACACTGTGGTCTGGCAGGACACTGGGCGGCAGCAGCAGGGGTCTCGGTAGCAGCAGGGCTGGCAGCAGCCTCCACAGCTCTGGGAGGAGAAGGATCCGCAGCAGGAGCCGGTCATGGTGGTGTCTGGGCTGGAGTGGGGCTGAGGAGTAGAGAGAAGTTGGGTGTTCTCAGGTGTGATGTCCCCTCTGGATTGGGTCCCTTTATATACCTGGCTGGGAGCTGATGATCCCTCTTGTTTATCTTTGAACTAATTAAGTCACTTCTGTTTGACTAATGGTTGAGTCATGATCCCATTTAATGATTCTTACTACATTTCTAAATATGAACATCTTACACTCAGTGTTCATTGTGAAAACTTGAAAATCACAGCCATGAGATAATGGAGTGGTATTTGACAGAAAATTTTTGGGTTTATAGAGTAGAGTGTGATGTTGTGGTACACTTACCCACCATACATTGACCAATTCAGGAGGCAATTTGCCATCATCATCTCAAACATTTATCATTCCATTCTTCTGAAAACATTCTTAATTCTGTCTTCTAGTTTTGATTACACAATATTGTTTAACTAGTGTCACCCATTGGATTGTGACTTTACCTATGGACCAATCTCCCCCTGCTCCTCCAACCATTTCTTGGGCTCAAGCTCATTTCAACCAATAACATTAAGATAAGCCTGGAGCAAATGGCCATGGAAGAACTCAGTTTTCAACATATTTGAGTATAATAAGATACATAGATGGTTGGCTGAATTCTAAGACAGAAATGCCTGTCTGTAAATGAAACAGGCACTAGGCATATTGTTTTAAGGAATTCATTAGGAATACTTTACTTACCATTAGGTATAAGAGACTATAAATCCTTTTGCTAGAGCAGGAACTCACATACAGAAAAATCAAAAGTTATTCTTAGATTTGTTTACTTTTATTTTCTACCCAAGAGTGTTTTGCCTATATGCATGTGTATGTACCATGTACATGCCTCATCCTCTCAGAGGTTAGAAGAGGGCATTGGGTGCCCTGGAACTGGAGTTAGAGATAGCTGTGAGTCACCACATAGATTCTGGGAATCAAACATGGGTCTTCTGCTCATAATAAGTGCTCTTAAATATTAAGCTATCTCTGCAGTCCTCCAAAGTTTATTTTTGTAAATATTATCATTGTACTGTATTAATATATTATAAACATATTAAAAGAAAGCACCTAAGGTTACTGTGCATCTTTCTTTTCTCCAGTTTAGGATGTTTTCACCTCTGATGTTTTTGGTCACAGGGAACTAATTTTTATCTTTAAATCAGATTTTGTTTGTTTGAGTCAGGAACTCATTTTCAGGAGAGGACATATGGTTCCTGTTCCTATTATCCATGACACAGGGCTTTGAGGACCCAACTGCTTACTCTGGTATCGGCAGCAAGACAGATGCTGTTTTCTGAACCTACTTATCCTGCAACACTCAACACTCACATGAGCCTCTGCTACTCACTGGCTTTGTGTCTTTGGGTTATATAATTGTGCCTATCTGGATTGTTGTGGGGATTAAATGAGCTCATACTTGTCCAGGAACTAAGAGCAGAGTCAGACACTCAATGTTATTTTTGTTAGTTGAATGAATGTATTTTAGCTGGCTTGTAGTCCCATTACTCAGGATGCTAAAGTACTAGCATTTCTAGCTTGAGGGGAGTCTGAACTGTGTAGTGAGACCCTATCTAAAACAATGTATTTTAAAAGGTTATTTTATTGGGAAGGGAGTTGGCTCAATGCTTTGAAAACATAAGGACCTTGGTTAAATCACCAGAATTCATGGTTTGTGGCATGTGATTATAATCCTATGCAGGGAGGAAGAGACAGGCAGATTTCCCTGGGCTACCTGGCCAGCCAGCCCCTCTTAACCAGTGGTGGATGGCACCTAAGAAGTGACACCCAAGGTTGATCTCTGGTCTGCACATGCATGAGCACACACGTACATGTGCACACACATGTTCATGCCCCACATGAACATGCATACACACACACAGGTCATATTACTCTGGTGTGTAAAACTTTTAAATTTGAACTTGGAACAAAGATGTTTGATTCAGGCCAGTTCTCTGCTCAGCTGCCACAGGATGCACATGGAATACGATGAATATTCCACAATGGGTTTTCTTAATATTATAAAGCAAAGTTAAAGTACCTGTAAGGAAGACTTAGCATTCTTTCCAGGTCTTTGTTCAGGGAAGTCAGACTACTACTGAATGAACAGGACACATGTGTGTGAGAACTGTGGATGGAATGTGTTACTGCAAACCCCCCAGTCCAGCAACAGGCTGGGTTCCTAGGACAAAACCTTTAAAAAACATTTACACAGAATATAGAAAGCTTCCTACTGGTGGTGGGCAATATTGTGTGTGTGTGTGTGTGTGTGTGTGTGTGTGTGTGTGTGTGTAGCAAATCATAGGACCCTATTTAACACTACCATTCAGCATTGACATCGTAAAAGCTTTTTGTGTTGGAAATATTTTCCTGTGTTCTCAAATTCCTGATTGCTCATACAATGGATAAGAACAATTGTACATATAGCGTGAATAGCTAACAACTTAAAATTCTTAATTTGGAACATATTAATGCAGATTGTTTATACAATTAAGCTGATCTTCAAGTGTTAGAAGGCAAATTTGATGTTTTATAATTTGGTTCTATTTTAAAAATATCAGAGAATCCTACCACATCCCCTGTTTCTCCTCCCTGTCAGACAAGAGAATTCTTTAGCAGTAAAAACCTGTTTAGGCTCAATTTGACTTTGATTAAATAGGTAAGTTTTGAAGTCAGAATGTGTTGAAAAAGGGACTTCAGTGTTTTTTCCAAAATAGTAACAGTTTCTCAAAAACTTAATTTTTTATAGTTTCTTTTTTGGTTAGCAGACAAAGAAATGGGTCTCATTGTGACATGTTCATTTATATCACTATATTTTATTTATTATATATTTATTTGCTTTAACTACTATCTTCCCTCCCCCATTTAAAGTATTCCCTCTCGAGTTCAAAACACATAAATTCTATTCTCTATTCTCCTTTACCCCAATAATAGATTACATATATGGTATTTCATTTATAGTAAAAACATGTGTTTACTTAAAAATTATATAATTAAGAAAACCTAAAAGAGAAACAGAGTACTATTATCAACTATGAGTAGATTTTGTATAATATTACAATTTAGGCATAAACAAATATAGTTTATTTCAGAATTTTTTCTTACAAAATTGCCTCATATATTTATAGCTTGATTTATAATATGAGTATGCTATGGACAGTTGTGTTGTATTTCCTAGTAAATTTATCATCTTCATCCATTTAAATCGTTTCTGTCACCTCTCTCTGTCTCCTTGTGTCTCTGTCTTTCTCTCTCTGCACCTCCCCACACACTTTTGTCTCTTTGACCAGGACTGGAAGAATGACAGGATCTCAGGGTCTCATATAGCCTTGTAGCCAACATTGGCTTCAAACCCCTGATCCTCCTGTTTCCATTTCCCAACAGATGTCCACTCAAGAGACAAGGGACAAGCCATCAGCCTGGGCATGCAGATGTCGCCTGGACACAGCTTCCTAACAGACTGGTCAGGGCAGGAGGGTCTTAGTTGCCTGGTGAGGGAGGAATTTGGATGATGTGGTCAATAGCTGGGGACTAACTGCCATCATTTTCATCAGTTGGTTTGCTCCAAATGCCACTTACAATGATTCCAAGAGAACAACTCAGACTTCAGTTGTTTTTCCAAACTAACGATTGTTCTGTATCTTGTACTGAAAAACGTTCTAGTAAGTGAGGCACTAGAGCAAGGAAATGATCACAACGCCCATAATTTCTCTGCTGAGAATGTTGAGTTTATTAGAAAACAGACAGTATGACCTAAGGATTAGATCACAGTCCAAAGGGGATGCAGTGTTCTTCATCAGAACAGGGTCCCCAAAGGTGTCTTTCATGTATAGGTTGAATTAATTTGAAGAACATACGTGCCAAGAAAAAGCATTTTTTTATGTCCTGAGTGGCAGCAGCAGGAACCTGTCCACCTCCCAAGGACCCTTAGTGCTAAGGTTAATTGGCTCAGCAGCAGGTGTTGCAGGGGGAGGTCCTGCAGGTGGTACGGCAGGGAGCAGGCTGGCAGCAGGGGGGCCTGCAGCAGGGAGCCTGCACAGAAATGGGCTGGCAGCTGGTGGAGGTCCAGCAGCAGGGTCTGCAGACCACAGCTGTGCAAGAGCTGGGGCAGCAGGTGATGGGGCGACAGCAGCCCTGCTGCAGGCTGCAGGGGTCACAGCAGATGGGGCGGCGGCAGGGCTCGCAGATGGGCCTGGTGAAGTGTGGCACACAGGTCACTGGGCGGCACACTGTGGTCTGGCAGGACACTGGGCGGCAGCAGCAGGGGTCTCGGTAGCAGCAGGGCTGGCAGCAGCCTCCACAGCTCTGGGAGGAGAAGGATCCGCAGCAGGAGCCGGTCATGGTGGTGTCTGGGCTGGAGTGGGGCTGAGGAGTAGAGAGCGGTTGGGTGTTCTCAGGTGTGATGTCCCCTCTGGATTGGGTCCCTTTATATACCTGGCCAGTGCTGATAATCCTCAGGACAGATAGCCATTTCCTTGTTTTGGTTGATTCTTTCTGAAATGGGATTGGTGGGTTAGTCTCTTGACATGTTTTAGGTGCTCAGGTCCTTGTGAAAGATTGTGTCTCTTTAATGGCAACTCATTATATTTTGCTATTTGTAGTTCAAATATGAACTTAATAGCCCTAACTTCAAAGTCACCAATTATCTTCATAGTTTGATGATGCTTTTGCCAGGTGGTGTTTTGATGGCACAAAAGAATTGACATGCCCTTGGGGTTACTTGCTAACAGCAGAAGTGAATTCAGCAAATCATTGTGTGGTTCCTTCTCCACTGCTCATGACAAAGCAAGACAACAATGTTGTAAGAGTATGTCAAAATCATTACAAAAACAAGAAAGGAGTTTCCCATCTCCTTCGGGAGTTCCAGGAACACATCTTAGTAGGTCTGCATCTTCAGTGGCTTTTGCCTTAGTTACACATTCCCTGATTTTCAGTGTCTTAACTTTTATGTCAAAGGAAATCCTATTGTTTTCAGTCTTTGCTTAATATCACTGAATTCCAACTGTTTTGAACATCATTTTTTAATTTAAATTAGCAACAAGCTTGCTTCACCAATCCCAGCTTCCTCTCCCTCTCCTCCTCCCCTGGTGCCCCCTACCCGCTCCCCCTAGCTCCCCACCCAATCCCCACTCCATTCTCCAGGGAGGGTGAGGCCCTCCATGAGGATATCCAGAGTTTGTCATTTCGTTCAGGGCAGGGCCTAGGCCCTTCCCCAAGAGTCCAGGCTGAGACAGCATCCCTCATTGTAGGAGGGGCACCCAAAGTCCATTTGTATGCCAGGGATAAATACTTATCTATTGCCCAAGGCCCCATATATTGGCCAGGCCTCCTCGCTGACAACCACATTCAGGGGGTCTGAATCAGTCCCATGCTGGCCTCCCAGGCATCAGTCAAGGGTCCAAGAGCTCCTCCTTGCTCAGATCAGCAGTTTCTGTGGGTTTCACCAGCCCAGTCTTGACCCCTTTGCTCATCATTCCTCCCTGTCTATCTCTAGGTTCCAGGAGTTCAGTTCAATGTGAACATCATTCTTTTTAAAAAATTATTTTCATTTATTTTTAGCATATTATTGATACTTGGTTTTGTGCTTTCATGCTCAGAAAACAATGAAATAATCTTATTCAGTACCCTAAATTCAGCAAATATTTACTTTTCCTAAATATACATATACATGGAGACAGAATGAAGGTCTTAAAGGCATCTATTTTCATATATATATATATATGTATATATAAATTTAAATTAGAAACAAGGTTGCTTCACATGTCAATTCCAGGTCCCTCCCCCTTTCCCTCCCCTCCTCCCGTGCCCTCCCACCAACCCCCCCCAATATCCCCTCATTTCTCTAGGGAGGGTGAAGCCCTCCATGGGGGTGTCCATAGTCTGTCATTTCATCCAGGGCAGGGCCTAGACCCTTCCCCAAGAGTTCAGGGTGAGAGTGCATCTCTCATTGTTGGATGGGAGTCCAAAGTCCGGGATAAATACTGATCTACTACCCAAGGCTCAATAGATTACCTAGGCCTCCTCACTGACACCCACATTCAGGGGGTCTTGATCAGTCCCATACTGGGTTCCCAGGCATCAGTCTGGGAATCAAGAGCTAACCCTTGTCAGGTCAGCTGTTTCTGGGGGTTAAACCAACCCAGTCTTAATCCCTTTGGTCATCAGTCCTCCCTCTCTATCACTGGATTTCTTGAGTTCAGTTCAGTACTTAACCGTGGGAGTCTGCCTCTGCTTCCATCAGCCACTGAATGAAGGTTCTGTTTCCCAGACTCTCTGGCCATGGGATTGTAGGCCAGAACTCCCCAGATCTATGTCTAAAATCCATATATGAGAGAGTACATGCCATGGTGAACATCATTCTTAGTTAAATAAATGTACTAATTTATTCTTTGTAATTGCTACAAGGTAGGGATTACTATATCCTTCGATTTTCCTATATCAGACTAAGTAAGTGGTTTGATCAATGTTTTGTATTAGTGGATGCTGCAGCCAACACTAAGACCCCAGATACGTGTCATAATATTGTTTATAAGTCCAAAGAGCTGCAGCATGATTGATGAGGACCGCATGACCAGAGAACATTTGCTTCATTTAGGAATATTAATGGTGAATTTACTTTTACAACTATTATATGTGACATTTTCAGAGTCATCTGCATGCATTCTGTCTCTTACCAAATATCCCCAGGAACTGGAAGAACTGAGTTGCATATAATTTAAGAATTCCAGAAATCACCAAATATGTCCCCAAACAAACTGAAGATAATTAGTCATGAGACACTCTGAGCAAAGCCATCCACAATGTGAGGAAGTCAAAGAACCTGAGCCATCCAGGAAGGCATCCATCTCCTAGTGTCACATCACTAGACAGTGGGCTTCAGTCCTGTCTTGTCTGTATCTAGTATCACCAATACCTCCCTGTGTATTGGACTTCATGAAGTTCATTCCCAGTAGCAGACTGAACTGTGATGTTCAATTGCTTCAAGCTATCTGGCCTTATTTTATGGCTCTTGTGCCTGCCCTTTCTCTATAATGCCTTCTGTTCTAGATCTCTGATCGAAGGCTCCAGTTTACCCCTTTTCATTTGTTATGCTGTTGGCATAGTTCCCCATAAGGCTACTCAGCACTGTAGCAGTCACTATAACTGACTAGGGTGTAGGGTTACCATGGAGGCAAACAAGCACCAACAATAATCACATGCTTGGAAGAAAACACAATGCTATCTGTCTGAGAATACGCACTGCGAAAGCCAAACAAAGAAATGGGATTTGGCTGCATGGTGGTGGCGCACACCTTTAATCCCAGCACTCGGGAGGCAGAGACAGATCTCTGTGAGTTTCAGGCCAGCCTGGTCTACAGAGTGAGTTCAAGGACAGCCAAGGCTACATTGAGAAACCCTGTCTCAAAAAAAATCCAAAAGAAAAGAAATGGAATTTGTAATCCCAAGGTCTGATGGAAAGCAACTACCCTCTCTGTTAATGAGAAAACTCCATTGTACACATACTAAAGATGTACCTCTATCAAATGGTCTCTGGAGTTCCTTAGCCACAGAACACCCTGTACATAGGACTTCCTGTGGAGACATCATGCGTGTTATAAGAATGCACATATCAAAACTGAGGCAAGCGGGGCTGGGAAGATGATGTCTTGTCTCCTCTCCTTACAGTTTATTTATTCTCAGTATCATTCTATTCTATTAAATGCACCAAATGTTGAATCAGAACCCGATCTTGACCAAAATCAGTCCAGCCCCTCCCCTCACAAAGCTCCCGCACGTGCCCTCTCTCATCAATCAGTGCTTACGGCTAAGTGTACAAGTATCACATTCAAAAGACCCATTTAGATTGGATTCTGGGGACTCAAGAAGCATATAGAACTATTTTCAGCCCTTGTTTTGTAATTTGTTCATGTCTGTCCTTTCTCTATAATGACTTCTGTGGTAGAGGTCTTTATTCAAGAAAACAAAAGCAATAAATAAAACAAAGCAAACAAAGCAAAACAAATATTGGTTAATCTTCCTAACTGTCCTAACAAGTACCTAGCATCAGTGAAGGCATCCCACAAGGGTTAATGTAAACATCATGTCACCCACAGTGATACTGTTTTAAGCACACCCACCATATGTCAGATTCTAACCAAGGCTGTATTTGGTCTTCTCATCATCAGGCACATTGGAAACCTAGCTGCCATAGTGGTACTGTTTGGGGCGTGGATGAAAGAATGGCTGATCCAGTAAATACAAAGGAATTCAGTGGAGAGGGTGACCCTGGGTACTACTAGCTAATCCAATCATTGCATAGTTTTCTATGTTGGGAAGTAAAGGGAGCTGCAACTTGGGTTTTCTTTCTTTTCTCCTGTGTATGGATCACTCATGATTCAAAATCATGACCAAAGATCTGCCTCCATATTTCTGTCCCATCACCACAAAAGTGTGTGTCCTTAAATATGAAAGCCCATCAGCAGAATTATCTGAAATATCTTAATTCTTTTTACAATTACAGATGTGCACCTCGAATGCTCTGGGGGGTTCAAAATACAGCCCTTGGAAACATTTTCCATTGATTATTCTCATTCTGAACACTGTAATTTATTCTGCAAAGGAGATTGTGACTATCAAGAAAGAACACAAAACCCATATGTGCTTCATCAGAAATAAAATTTTATTTTTTATCATGCAAAACCACAGACTAAAAATATCATGCTGAAGATATCTCCCATCTGAACCCTGAAATAGAAAAATTACAAGAATTCAGCTGATGAGAGCTAGGATGTTTCCAGAGGTATGCAGATGACCAGCTGCATATATGTGGGAAATTGGGCATGCCTTACAGATGAGTGAGTTATGGAAGAACAAGTGGGTTGCAAAGATGGCACCTCTTATCTGCTCCAGCAGGAGTAGGAAGAGTTCTGTTCATCTGGCAAAGCTGTATATTAGATGGCTCAGCAGCAGGTGTTGCAGGGGGAGGTCCTGCAGGTGGTACGGCAGGGAGCAGGCTGGCAGCAGGGGGGCCTGCAGCAGGGAGCCTGCACAGAAATGGGCTGGCAGCTGGTGGAGGTCCAGCAGCAGGGTCTGCAGACCACAGCTGTGCAAGAGCTGGGGCAGCAGGTGATGGGGCGACAGCAGCCCTGCTGCAGGCTGCAGGGGTCACAGCAGATGGGGCGGCGGCAGGGCTCGCAGATGGGCCTGGTGAAGTGTGGCACACAGGTCACGGGGCGGCACACTGTGGTCTGGCAGGACACTGGGCGGCAGCAGCAGGGGTCTCGGTAGCAGCAGGGCTGGCAGCAGCCTCCACAGCTCTGGGAGGAGAAGGATCCGCAGCAGGAGCCGGTCATGGTGGTGTCTGGGCTGGAGTGGGGCTGAGGAGTAGAGAGCGGTTGGGTGTTCTCAGGTGTGATGTCCCCTCTGGGTCGGGTCCCTTTATATACCTGGCCAGTGCTGAGATCCTAAGGACACAGAGTTATTTCCTGGACTCGTGGTTACCCAATGAAAAGAGAACCCTGGATTCAGTTGCTAGGCAACAATTCCAGATTCTACAAGGATGCTTTTCTTTCCACCCTTCTACTATTTCCCTTGGAATGAATACTTGATAGTTTGTATCATCAGAGCTATTGCTCACCTCTCAGGCAATCGTCCTGGATTAGGCCATGTGACAGACTGAAAGTCTGAAGGGCACTACTGATGTCACTTTCCCCTTGTTCACAGTCTCTGAGGAGGTATGAGGCTATGATACACCTGAGTCATAAGCCTGGTTTCTGGTTGACTTTCAAACAAAGTAACAATTCCTGAAGTGCCAAAATGGTTCATAAAAGTGGACATGTGTCTATTTTGTTGTGGAAAATATGACCCAAGGCTTCTGAAGAATAGCTAATTGCCTTGCTTGGGGAGAGATAATCACCAGAGCATCAGAGTGGCTTTAAAGAAAGGAGCCTGAATTATCCTGTAACTCACACCCTCTCACGAGACACTTAGGTTGTGAACCATGCAATTAGGGGGATGGAAAGGCAAAACTAAGCCCCCAAATTTCTTGTCGCATTTTGTAGTCATAATTAGAAGGGAGACAAGATAAAGGTAAAAGGAATTAAAGATGAAGAATTTCTAAAAGGCCAATAAGATTAAACCAAGGGATTAATTCCTATCTGTCTTTTGAATCTCTTTTATGACGGCTATATTTCTTTCTGCTTTCTAAGTATAACATAAACACTGCATGTTAAATTCTTTAAAATTTGTTGTAGGACTGGTGAGATGGCTGCCTGGGCAAATACTCCTGTCACCAAGCTTAGCAGCTGGAGTTCAATTGCCCAATACCCACTTGGTAGGAAGAGAAAACAGAGGCATACAAGTTGTCCTCTGACCTCCACACACACACACCGGAACACACCTGTTCCCACAGACATGAGTGTGTACTCGAGCACAAAATAAAGAATAAATAAAATCTATTGAAATGTGTGTGAAGGTATCAATCATCCTTCTGTGGTCAATACTGTGGTTTGTTGGCTGAGAATTTAGATTGCTTATGAAATGTGAGATAGCATTATTTCAAAGTAGAAGGAGAGCCGATGAGTGGATAAAGAGCCTTGTGCTTCCCCACCATAACGAGGGGGGTGTAGAAGATAAAGGAAGAGTAAGAAGGCAGGTGAATGATAGCACCGGACAAGGATTGCTGAAGACTTTTGGATCAAATTGAAAGACCCTGGCCCAGTCTAACAGGCAGCTGAGGCTTATGGAAAATTCCGTTCCCCCCCCCCAGCTGCATAGTCATTGCCTATCAGAAGGGAGCTCAGCACAAGGACACAGGCTGGGTGCTCAGCCCAAGGACACAGAGATGTCTGCGAGCGACCAGATGGCCAGCTCAGCAAGATTGGGCAAGCACAGAGACCTATTGTTCCTCAGATAGGGCCAAGACTTGAATTCCAAGAAAAACCTCAATTGCCCAATCAGGGTCCTGTTACTAGGCTTCTCGCTTCTGTACTGCGCTTTTTGCTATAAAAGAACCCCTGAGTCCCCAGCTCGGGGCTCTCAGTTCCCGAGACTGAGACGCCCCGGGTACCCGTGTATTATCAATAAAGCCTCTTGCTGTTGCATCCAAGCTCGTGGTCTCGTTGTTCCTTGGGTTCGGGTCTCCCTTCCGTGAAAGTATCCCTACTGGGGTCTTTCAAAATTTTCATCTGTGTGTGGTTGTTAGTTTTGATTGTCAACTAGTCACACTGTAGAGTCAACTAGGAAGGGAGTTGCAATGAGGAGTTGTCTAGATTAGGTCAGCCTATGGCTATGCCTATGAGCTTTTTATTTTTTTTTATTTTTTCTATGGGTTGACTGAGATGGGAAGAAAGACCAAGATTGTGGGTAGCACCATTTCAAGGGCTGGGCCCTGGAGTTAATGAAAAGTACAGGGCGAGCTGAGCCCCACCCTGCATGCACTAAGTCATTGATGCTCTTGAGTACGGATGTAGTACGACCAGTGACTTCAACTTCCTGTCACCTTGACTTCCCCACAATGATGAACTGTCATCTGGAATTGTGCACCAAAATAAACCTTTCCTTCCTCAAATTGCCATGGTCAGGAATATTGGCACAGCAAGAAGAAACTAATAGAAGATCCCAATTTCAGGTAGGAGATATAAAGTCACAATATTGCCCTCTATACTCATTATGTCATTTCCTGAGGAAGAGGGATATTGCATCTGTTTGACAGCCCGTGATGATGACAATCCTTTTGTAAACATTCCTGTTTAGCTTATCTATAACCATTTCATGAAATGTCACCAGAATGCCACCACCCACCAGATCCTATGATGACCTCCACCGTCTCTTTGCTGTTCTGCTGGGTGGGTGCTCTTGCTGACATGCATTCAGAGACAGGTTTGTTGAAAGGGGTGTGTCCCTGACTTTATGACATAATCTTTTAAAGCCATATTATTCCAATTCCAAGCATTCTGCAAGATCATAGTCACCAGTGGGAGCATGTGCATTTTAAGCACAACGATAATTGTGAGATTTTTGAGATTGGATTGGAAAAGAATGTAGTGATGGTGACAGCTGATCCAGTAGGCCATGTCCTCATCTTGATAGTTTTATGATAATCTAGTTTGGTGGTTTCTAGATATCAGGAGATGTCTAACATTCTGAAAAAAATGTTTTTCATAGGGAATTCTTTCTTAAAATACACTCCAGCTATAGGGGTCACAAATGAGAATGAAGTGGGTTGAGGGAAAAGGGAAGTATTATTTCAGGGAAGATAACATCTCCACAGCCCCAGTTTCCTCATCTGTGAAATGAAGTCTTCAGTATCTGGAGCTCTTCATGGACCATTTTATTATAACATTCATGCAAGTACAGAATATAGAGAGATGCATATAATTAACCAAAAAGAGAAAAAGAGTCAAATTGAAAAATATGGAAAAGCAATGATCAGGGAACTGATAGAAATTTTTGGATTTATCAGTAACTAAAGATTTTATATATATATATGTATATATATATGGTAAATAATCTATCCATAGATTTATCATCTCCCTTAAATTTAAATGTTCATCTGCCTAAAGTCAGGAAGATTAAACAAATAGCTTGGCATCTCTTACTGCTTTTAAATTTAAGTCCCCTTGAATGGGTAAGTTTGAAAGACTTTCAGATACACATATTACTCTACTGCTCTTTTCTAGTTATTCAACTCTCCTCAGGAGTCCTAGAGTCTAGAGCTCATTTCTAATGGTTTTAAAACTAAGACCCATAGCAATAGTAGATTTGTAGCCTGAACTGGCCATCCAGGCATCAGATTGGTGACTATTCCAATTGTCATCAGAGAGCCTTCATCCAATAACTGATGAAAACAGATGCAGAGACCCACAGCCAAGCATTAGGCTGAGCTCAGGAATCCTGCTAAAGAGAGGGAGCAAGAATTGTAGGAGCCAGAGGGGTCAAGGACATCATAAGGAAACCCACAGAAACAACTCACAGTCTGAACCAACAACCAGAGAGCCTGCATGGGACTGACCAAGCCGTCTACACATATGTGACAGCTTTGTAGCTTGGTCTACTTGTGGGACTCTTAACAGCGGGATCAGGGGCTGTGCCTAACCCTTTGGCTGTCTCTTGGGAATCTACTCATACTGGATTGCCTTGCCCAGCCTTCAGACAACGGAAGGTGCTTAGTCTAACACAATTTGATATGCCATGCTTTGATTATACCCATGGGAGGCCTGGCCCTTTCTGAACAGAAACAGGAGGATTTGGATGAAAAGGGCAGATGGAATGTGGGGGGAGGGTGTGGGAGGAGAGAAGGAAGGGGAAACTGTGGTCAGTTTGTAAAATAAATTAATATAAATAAAAACTGTAAAAAATAAGTTTTAAAGATTCCTTTTCTTTCTAAGTCCATATTAATCTGATACGAAGGTATATTGAGACTAATTAGAAAGTACATTTCTGCCAATGGATGTGAAGTATTTCCGAAAAGAAATATTGAAACATATGAGTAAGATTTTTCCTTGAATTCTCTATGACCCTCAATGATTTCATTTGAACCAGAGAGCATGTTTTTGGCTGTTTGTTGTCGCTGTTTTAAGACACAGTATAACTAGTACAAATAGTGACATTGGGCACTGAATGTGTGGCCTGTAGAAGTCATTCAACTTTTCCAGATATCTATGGGGAGAATTGCTAAATTTCCCTTTCTACTGTGTCATCCCTCGGTAGGTGGGCCTAGACAAGGTAAGAAAGGCAGCTGTGGAAGCCAGCCAGTAAGCAGCGCTCTTCCTTGTGCTCCTCTGCTCCAGTTCATGCCTGCCTTGCCCTGGCCCCTCTTGATTGTGACTGTAGCCTGTGAAATGAAGAAACCCTTTCTTCTCCAGGTTGATTTTGGTCATAGTGTCTATCACAACAGCGTGAAGCAAACTGTAACAAACAGAAAAGTTAGAGGAGCTAAGCTGTGTGCGATGATTTGCTTCCTTTAAGCAAATACCTCCTGATCTTTAATTGTTGTAAAGACAATTCCTTTGCAGCTCAGTTTCATTTGACAAGTGGAAATCAAGCGCCAGCTCCGTCTGGGCAGCTAAGGCCAATAAATGGCCATTTCTTCCTCAAAGGCAGACACTAGATCATCTCAGTGCAGTGCTTTATGGGGAGTGAGATAACTCAGGATGCTTCAGGAATATGCTGGGGTACCTACTGTAGCCTGGTTTCATGCAAGTGGATGTGCACATGCGTGTTTTTGGTGGTATGAGGTTTAAGACAAGTCCGCTGGAGAGACTGAGATGATGATTAGAAATGAAGCAGAGGTAAGTACACAAAAGAAGGAGATGAAAGAATGTTTGAGAGAAATGACAGCTTTGGTTTCATTGTGCAGGGTCTAGACTCCTGTTCATGTGTATACTCTAATAGCACACAGTAATGAATGAATCAGGAGTGTGGCATTTGCTATGCCAGGAAAACCATTTTATTGAAACTATGAACAACATAAGGCAAAGACATGGGTGGGGATTTGAACTGCCTGAATCATAAGG